TCCATTGGCTGACTAAATTGGTGAAAAAGTTGTTCTTTTTTGTCTGTGCTCGTCTTCTAACAATAACTTTTTATCTCAGCTGCAAGATTGAGGGTGGCAGCTAATGAGAAGGCAGAAGCAGAGAAAATTTTGCAAATTAAGCGAGCTGAGGGTGAGGCAGAGTCCAAGTATCTCTCTGGAATGGGTATTGCTCGGCAACGTCAAGCAATTGTGGATGGTTTAAGAGACAGTGTGCTTGGATTCTCAGTAAATGTACCAGGAACCACTGCTAAAGATGTGATGGACATGGTGCTTGTGACTCAGTATTTCGATACCATGAAAGAAATTGGTGCTGCCTCCAAATCTTCTGCTGTGTTCATTCCTCATGGACCTGGTGCCGTTCGTGATGTAGCCACTCAAATTCGGGATGGACTTCTTCAGGCTTCTCATCAGTAGCTTCTATATCACCCAGCTCTTTTATCTGGTTTGTACAGCTATGGATGAGACTGTGTTGACTATTCGCGTGGAGGGTATCTATGAACTGTGCTTTCTGATCTTGTTTTGTGGCAACAATCAGTATTACTGTAGATAATAGTTCTGTGGATTGGTGGGCCATGCCCTTTTTAAATACCCTGCTTTGGATACTTAAAACCATCAACTGCCCCTGTAGGTTACCTGTTTTCTTTGGTGTGAATGGTGATTTCAAGGAAATTTCTTTTCTTTTGTTTACCTTTGGAGTTTACTTATGCTCAATCATAGAATAAGAGACTGTCTGTTGTTTTTCGATAATGTTGCTTGGTATTGGGAAATACGTTATAATCAAGCTCTCTAAAACAGAGTAAACAAGAGAAATAGTATGCCAACTCCCATCTTTTGGGCTATCATTGTTGAAAGCATTTTAAGATTGAAGATAAAGGAGCAAATTAATTTTTCCTTAGAACAAGGTGCTCAAATATCCTAGAAATATCTATAAAGGAACACTCAATACCCAGTACTCGGAAATAAAACTTTCAGGATGTATAAGAGTCAAAAAAATTTGTTCACATACTGGGTATTTCTTTGTGATACTTTTAGGGTATTTAAGCATCTTATGCTTTTTTTTTAATACTTTATAGGTATTTGGGAACGTTAAATCCTGTTCGCAAAAAATATTCGTAAAAATATTGTCAACTATCATTGTCTTTATTCGTAAAAATTGTCGACATTCTGCAATATTGATTTAAAATGGATAGCGATAAATAATGAAATCGTTCATCAAGCGTGCTAGATAGTAGCTTTTCTCCTTGAGATTGACTAGGGTGCTAGAGCCAGGGAGAGGCCAACCTTAGGAAGTTTACTTGTGGCCCTAAAATCCATTTCTCCAGCCACGGATATACAAATTCTCTGCCAGAACTGTTGCTGAATAAGAGCACCCGCCTTTCCATAGGTATCAAGTCGAGCCTTCACCAATGTGCAAGGTAGCAATGCGTGCTGAGCACCAATAGTCACACCGGTCTCATTCATTGAGATCCTATGCTTCACCTCTGCTGCTATGGCTGTCTTTGTCAGAGGGTTCACCTCATGATAAAAGGATGCTTTCACAGTGTCAAACCTGTCATGCCTGTATCAAAGCAAACTTGAGAATCTCATGATAGTTTCACAAAGATCCAGCTCAAACCAATCACAGGTGTAGTCTAAGTGGACATTTTGAACTTGTGTGTGCGCAACTATATTTCGTGAAGCTCACATGGTCATAGAAGCAACAAGGAACGCAGTGTTGAAGGTGCAACCAACATTCATTTTCCTGAATTCCTTTGTCGAAATGTCGTATGCAAGTTTGGCCCCCAAAGATAGAATATCTGTTCCTATAAGACCAGAGAAGTTGACCACAGGGTCATATCCTCTTTCAAGGTTTCCTATTAATCCAATGCACCCAGTTATTCCAGTGTAGTTACTCAAGTATTGCAGTTCCACCTGTGATCATCAAAATTCAAAAGGATTAAGATGATATTGATGAAGTTCTTAACAAATAGATAGAAGGACGATCATGATGATTGAGTCATCTTCAAAGATGATATCAATCTGAGAGTCTAAGGTAAACGTGATATACAAACATGAGAAGAAAGCCTTTTAAGCTCAAAGATAACTTGAAAATTCCACGCGCAAAGTGCATAAATAATTTTATTATGTTTTGCAAGTTAGGAAAGATTTTACCAAGTTAGGAAAGATTTTTCCCAGAATCAGGGAGTGTAAAATTGCAGAGGCTTCTAACTCCAGGCACAATTTCGTCCACTGTTGCAGTTGCAACATAAAAGACACCGTGGTCAGCTATTAAATTCCATGGCCATTAATTATTTCCATTTTCGGGTAAAATATTTAGGATCAATACTGTTATTTCAGAGTTAAAAAAAAGCGAAGACACAGGTTTTGAAAATTCAGTTTGTTTCTTGTAAACATATTTTTCTAACAGAAAAGTTTTTTAAGCCACAAGGAAGAGGGGGGAAAAGCTTATATTTCAATTACCTTGACAAGACAGATCTAGATTCCAGTCCATCATTTGGTAGTGAAAGTGAATTGGTGGTTGGTGAGCATAGTCCTTGTGAAGAACAGCTAAGAAAAATGAAATCACAAGCGTGTTAGAATCTTAAAGAGGAAAAACAATGAATGAAAAGAATCTGAAAAGAAAATAAAATCATCCTTAAACCTTTAGCTCTTTTCCCAATATCAAAATATATGCCCGGACACCTGCTCATTTCTCTAAGAACACTGCATAGAAATCAATATTCTCTTCCGGTGATGCGCCGGTTTTTGATTTGATAGGCTCGAGAATTTATTGGAAAACAATGAAAGGCAATGACGAAATTTCCTCTTGCACAAACAGACATTTAATCAGACAGTGTCCAATCTCCAAACGAAATTTCCAGTGAACCAGTTGTAAATACCGTTTATGTGAGTCAAGACGGCATGCGAATAGAGAAAGAGTAAGACTCAAGCTAGGCGGCCTCAGTGCCGATGGTGATATATAGCTAGCTTAGAGTAATCTGCCCAGTAAATTTTGGTTATATACAACTTACTGTTGATAATCATTGTTGCTTTGCTCTTAAGCTCACCCCCAGAATTCTGGTACATATTTGGAAACATTTAATCTCCTTATTTTGTCACTGTTTAACAACCCTCCACAAAGAAAAGTTAACAAAACTAAAATTAAACACCAAGTCTTTCGATCTGAAGACGTGTGATGATATTTGAAGATGCATTGCGAAACTCCGGAGTTTTGCTGCAAATTTTGCATCTTATCCTTCTTCATAACAGCTTCGCCTTCAGGTTCATCCTTTCCTTCAGTCTCCAGATTGATTGCTATGGATTTAGATTTCGTTTCTTCTGGAAGGCTTAGACCCAATTACCCAAATAAATTAAGGGAAATATAGTTTCTGTTACGCTAATTTTCTAGCTAACAGGGGATTAGATTATTGATAGCTGACAAGAAGGGAAGGTACAAATTCGTCCTCTTCCCAAACGGATCGAGGAAACTAAACTCGGCCGTTAGCTCCCCACAACAGCTTCACAAGCAGGTACTGCAAAGGCCCAAATCAATCGTCACTCTCACGTATCCTAGTCACTATGGATAATGAAATTAATTTACAGATTTGGTCAAAAAAAGTTACAGATAGCTTTTTAAAACTCATTTTTAAGGTTGCGCATGATTTGTTATTAATTAAAGTAATTTTATTTAATTTTAAGTGCATGGGTTTAAATTAATTTCAATAAACATGGTACTTATACTACTATTTGAGATAATAGAATATCATTAAAATAATTATGCTGTGCGATTACAGCCAAAAATATCCATCCAATCTAATGATTACAATCTTGAAAGTAGCATACTTATAATAGGCTATAATTTAGGTTGGATACTATAGAAACTACAGTTTCAAGTACGTAGTCTGTCTGTACTGTACAATTGACTACGAAGAATATTGCCGTATTAGTTGGAAGTCGCAGAATACAAAGTGTATTTTTCTGTATATATTCACATTTTTTCCTGAAATTTGTAAGCCAAAAAAAAAATTTAGGAGCTTCTACTTTCTAATTACCTGATCACAATATTGAAGAGGAGAAATTTATTGTTTGTTTATTAAAAAAAAATCAATGGGAGACTCAAAATTCTGGTCTGGTTTATGCATTGAATATTGTAAGCTTGTTAGTAGTCTTAGTAAAGAAGCCATTTCTGAGTTGGATCTGTGAATCGTTGGTTTATGTAACGCAAATTAGTTTGATGACCCAGAAAAAGTACATGAAATTATTGCATGGTTCTAAAATTCAGCAAAAACAGTTTCTCCGCACTTAGCCACTGATCAGTGATATGCAGGATCAATGGATGCCAAATTTCCAGGTTTCTCAAGTAGTTACGAGACTTCTTTCCAGTTCCCTTGTTGTGCACGGAAAACAAAGTTAAGACATCCCAGAGCAGACTCTCTTAAAACATTCCTTCCTGTTAACATACGACCTCAAGTCTTAATTATAAGAGCTAGTTGACTAATTTGAGGAGATTAAAGAAACAAGTTAAGTTAGTTATTTGTAATAAATATGTGTTGTATTTCCTAAAATATCACTACTAATTAAGTTTATTGACTAAAACTACCATTATTAGAAGAACTACCTTAGAAAAAAAATACATAAATATGAGAGATAAAGTGGATTGGAATTTTATAATTAGGATCAAAATAAAAGTCAAACGAGATCCTATATTAAGAACCGGAGGTAGTATAATTCAACGAGAGGTATGCATGAATGAAGGGTCATTTGCTTTCTGATGCAATTCAACACTGGATTTCTAGCTTTTTTAAGTCTAGCATAAGCATAACCAATAGAGAAATGTGCAAAGCCTTGGTTCTGTATATTTAATTAACCCTAAAGTGTGCTTCTATTTGGTCCATCCAAAGGTTACACAATAAAGAATTCAAGATATCATTAAAATATCAGAACCACAGTTCACAAATGAAAGCAAAATATCAGAACCGCAAGCACATTGAACTTAAACAACATATCCAGAGGTATATACTTTCCCAAACACGATGACAGGAAATTCTCCTCGCCATCAAAGAGCCGATACCCCATCTCTTATTTCAAGTTTTGAATGGTGGTCATCAGGAAATGTAGTTCATTACAGCAAAAAGAACATGATGACAACTAGCTACTTTCCTCTCAGAGTTTCATCACCCACTTTATTGTCCATGCAATGTTATTACTGGGGACAACTTTTTAAAGGCCAAATGGTTGCATTGTTGTCTCACCCCTACTCCCACCATCCATCCCCAATATTTAAAATCTGATGTCTGAAAAATTGTCCCAAAAAAAGCAAATGAAAAAATAGACCTACGGTAATGTGAATCAATCTACATCAGCCGATCAGACAGACTTGGCAGTCTCCTGAAAAAGTTTAAGGAAGCAGAAGGCATGGGGTCCCTGAACATGGGATGTCGCAGGTAGTAAAATCCTAAAGCCACAGCCACCATTTTTGGTGGAACCACATACATTGTCACTGTAATTGTCAGACACATTGCAATGAATATCTTCGTGGCCCTTGGATCCCTCCAACTCACCAAGGCTTGCAGCCTCTCCCCTTGTGCTGCAAAATCACCCAACACAGTTTGGACCCGAGCAGCCAACATGCGTAACCTGTCGTATCTCACCTGAACTATATCAGGTGGCCTTGAACTGGGCATTGTGTCAAATTCCTCATCTAACTCATCCGGGTCAACTGTTTCGGCTTGTGACAATCGGGTATCCATCCCAGCCGGTATCCTGGGTCTGAACCGGTAATACCATATGCCAATCAAAACCACGTATAAGAAGCCAGTAGGGACAATCAAATCTGGATACCAAACAAGTACCAGGTATAGAATATGGACCAGAACAGTCGTCACCGGCTTCCTCCACCTTCTGATGTCGTCCAACCATTTTGCCAACCCGATGGCCCAAGCCAGAACCGCCACGATCCGACACCAATTGGCCTTGCTCTTCCTTATGCTCCAAGTGTGCGAGTCCGCATCCAACATGTACCGAACCACCTCGTGCCCCAGCGGTGGCTCCGCCTTCGAGAGCCACTGCGCCACCATCTTTGTGGCGGCTCCCCGTAGTGCCTCCTGTTGAGCCAAGCCGAGGGGACGAAGATAATGCATTCTAGGAAACAATGGCTGCCCGTAAAGTGCACATGTATCAGGCAGCAATGAAGGACAGGCAAAACGAACTGCTAGCTCAATCTCACCGATTTTCTTCAACCCACATCGGGATAACACCAACAGAGGATATGAACTTGTGTACACCTTATTACTCTCCAGAGTAGATACTCGTATTCGAACCTTCCCAATGCGATTGTCAGGTTTATCTTCTGATGCGTCAACAAACATTCGCCAATTGTCAAAGACGCCGATGGTCAAAACTGTACATGGGTCGTACACTTGCCACGTGTACTGCTCGTTCCAACGTGGATCAAAGCTGTCTGTGATGGTTCGAGTGCGAACCCATTTCTTCCCGTATTTAGCCACACAGTAAGCATCGGTGGACCCCTTTCCTCCTGGTCTGGGTTTCATGGGAATGAGACTGCGCGCCCCTAAGATTCCGAGTTCAAGAATTCCAATGGGCGGCTTCCACAGCTGTTTCGCCGTCGCCCGGAAGTCACTGCATACGTGTGCCGCTTCGTCCAGCACGTGATAGCCTCCTTCCAAGCATAGTCTCAGGTGGACTCGGCCCCTGTAGGGGCCACACCCGTTAAGACCATCAAGGGAGAACCATTTCGAAGCCACGTGGCGCTCGTCGATTCGTTGCTCAATGGAAGTCAGTGGGATTACGATGTGTCCCAGGATCGCGGCCTCCCTGGTCGTACGGTCTTCTACTAGCAGGATCATGGGATCTTCTTCGAGAGGCTCGCCGGCCACAAAGAGCAGGTCTTCGTTCCAATGGATTGATAGGCTGTGGTTGTTCATGCACCCTCGCCTTGTTCGTTGGCTTTGGAATCCTAACTGTACTTTTATTCGAATCTCCGGCGCCGTTAATGGGGGTAGATTCGGAGGGATGTTGAGGTCTTGAGCTTCAATGATGTTCACACGCAAGTACCAAAGCTTAGGCGACTGGTATACTTTAGAGCGTGTGTATGCCACGTCTGGTACGTCGGAGCTCCATGCCTCCGGGAATGCTTCATCTGCTTGTGTACCAATCCAGACGGCAAGTTGAATATCACCTGAAACTCTGCCTGAATTTTGTTCTACGGCACCACCTTCAAGGCGGTACCATTGCGGAGCCAATGGACTATCAGGAGGGTCTCGTACAGGTACGTCGGAGAGATCAAAGCAAACACCGCCCAAAAATTGCTCAGTTGGATAATCCCAAACCGAGATCTCCAATGTCGTGCTCGCTGTGTCAGCCTTGTGTCCGAGAGCGAAAACCTGGTTCCACTCCGGCGAGTCATTGGGCTCATTTGGACGGTATTGCGCAGGTTTTGATGTGAGCAAGGGACCCGATGACCCTCGAATCTTCACATATGGACTCTCATTCGGGGCCAACCCACGAGCCTTGACGATTTTGACAAACAGGTATTGCATCGGCTCCACCAGCTCATAGGGGTGAACTCTCTCAGAATCGACGCCGGTGGGCTTTTTAGAGATCACTTTTGGCGAGTAATCTCCATTGGGCCTTTTCAAAATCCTAACTCTCTCCCCTCCCGGTATTCTTCCTGACTGCATTCTTCGGACCTCTGGAGGGGGTATTCCCGATACAGGTGGTGGTTGTCCTGCCATTTCCGGCATAGGTTGATACTGCGGTACATGGACCACCGGCGGTGGCGATTCTTCAATAACCACAACATGCGGTGAATGAGGGACTCCAGGTACGCAATGCTCCGGCGGGCCTTGGACCTCAAACGCTCCTCCTTCCTCAACTACTACGCCCGGACCCTCATGCTCTGGAGCTTGCTGCTGTGGCTCCTGCTCTGGCTGCGGAGGCGGTCCTTCTTCCTCCATCATCTCATCATAGTAATAAATCTTAAGGCCTATTTCGCCCCTAACCCAATTAAACACGCTCCTCTTCTCCAGCGTATAGTACACCAAACCTTCATCCCCTCTCTTGGAGAATTGAGTTCCGTACAGCCTCACCCTGCCTAGGAAGTGATTTTTCCGGCCACTTCCATTTCCAAACTTCTTGTCGTTGTTGACCTCAATATTTAGCTCTTCGAACTCCATGTTATGGGGGTCAGATACAATGAACTCAAGAACCTCGTTCCAAACCGGGTTAAGGTCCTTGTACTGGGAACTGGTCCTTTTCCTGTGTCCATCAAAGTCAGCGACGACGTAAGGGCTGGAGCTTCCCTGGCCATCCTTGGGAAGGAGATTGCGCGCATCCACTACTTCAACGATAAGCTTTCTGACAAATCCCGGACCAAGCGGTGGAGGCTGCATCGGCGTCGTCATGTTCTCATGTTGTTAACGGGATCAGATTCTGTTTCCGGTGAGCTTGAAATTGCAGCTAATAACGGTGGCCGTTGATAGAGGCAGGAGAGAGAGAGAGAGAGAGAGAGAGCAGGAAGAGTGAGAAGAAATGAAGAATGTTGGTTGCTTTATTATTTTATTTTTGTTATTTTAGTTTAATTTTCCCTTGAATTTATGCTCTTTCTTTATCCTTCTTTTTTAGTTTTTTTTTTGTTTTAATACATGGTGGGGGGACTAGAATTGAAGTTTGGTAGACGGTGATAGTGGGCAGATCAGATTCCATGCTCTCTCGCGAAGGTTTTGCTTTCCACCTTTAGCCTTCCTTCCCTCCCTCTGCTCTGGATTCGTTATCCACCTCAGCTTCTCTTCCCATTTCTTTATAATTATGAAGTATTAATTGTTTAATTATGATTTAAAATAATTGATAGTTTATGTTATTCCACTGGTTCCAAACCCATGAGAATAATTGATGCAGTCTCTTCTCTTGCACTGATCTATGAGCACAAAAGTTCTTATCTGTACTTCTTAATCAATTTATTATGCTATAATTCCTCAGCTCATGAACTTATGGCTTGACTAATGAGCTCATCATCTAACGTTCTCCTTTCATTTCAGTTTGAAGAATTTAAATACCTAATACATGAATATTGAAAAAATTAGTTCTGTAACAAATATGAGAAGATATTCCCCACAATGGAAGGATTCAAGGTTCAAAATTTTTGTGAGGAGAAGTATCCATATCTTAGCACCTGATAGTGACTACAAGAGGATTAACTCTAACAAAAAAAAAAGTGTGTTGATTTTCTAAAATATCAATTTTAATCACCGCCTTATTAATCGAAACTTTCTTTAATACAAGCCATCAACATAAATGACTTGAGAAAATTTATAAATTTTCAAGATAAAATGATTCGAAATCTTATATTTATGTTTAAAATAAACTTCTCAACTAACTCATAAATCATATATTTATCATTGTAAAAGTGCTTATCAATTATGCACATACTCTTACACAACTTGAATGCTTGCCAGCAAGGAAACTGTCACTTGCACAACTTTGTAAATATATAGCATAGGCATAATGTTATCTGGATTTTAAGTTTGCTGAGAAGTCATCAATCCCATGATAATTGTCATTGAAAACACAAAAGGAAAGAAAAATTATGAAGAAGCAGCTTTTGAATATCGTCTTAGGACGCTGCAGTAATTGTTAGTTTGAAGGAGAAGACTCTCTTTGTGCACTTAGTTAGAGACCTTACGTAAGCTGAAAGATTTAAGAGAGGGGAAGGCACATGATTCCACGTCGCAACCATGTAGCCATCCTTTTTGTCAAAAGCAGCCAATTTTGAATAAAGTTGGGACGACAAAGCATCGCCTTTATCTCTTCTTGTGCTCTCTCTGATTCTCCCCCTGCCTATCCATTGCTTGTCACCGTCTATATCTCTAACTATAAATAAACCTTCCCTTTTTCCATTTCGAGCAGCCATTGGTTGCCAAATTAATGTGTTCTCAGTAATTTTGTCAACCTTAAGCACTTTGTATTTTGCTCAAGAATTTTGGATTTGGAAGAGATTCTAAAATCCATGTTATGGGAAGGAAAGTTATACATTAATAACTGCATGTTTGAGTTGTGCAAGAAAGATTTTTGTGTTGAGATTGCAAGGGAGATTTTATTTTGTTCTGTTGCTGTGCATTCACATTTATACATTAGTAGGCTTACAACTTTTTGGTTCAGATGCCCAATAAACTTCTCTTTTCTGTACCAGTGCGTGCTGTGTGTGTTTTTGTGCGCTTTTTAATTTGTTGGACTGTTTGTGGAATCTGATCCCGTTAAGATTAAAAGCAAACCTTGATACGATGCCTCTCTGATTCAGCATATTTTTTTGGATGAAGTTGAGGATGAGGTGAGTAAAAGAACACTGTTGCTTAAAGAATCAAATGCAAAGGATGTGTTGAAAAACAAAAGGCAATCCGAGTTATTTTGTAAGGGTTTTGTCAAAGGAATACCAAGTCGGCATAAAGTTAATTGGATGCATAGGACTGAGAATTGAGAGACCAGGAACTTGAAATTTCTGTTTTCACTTTGGTGGAGGCAGGAGAGGATGAAGAGTTGAAGCAATGTGGATTTCTGAATTGATATGAAAAGTAAGAAACTGAGAATCTCTTATGTATTAGCCATCTTATATATGTTCCGTAACAAGACAGTCAAACATATGATGTAGAATGTTGACGTGGAGGCAGGATCTTTTGCCAGAGTTATGACAAAGCAAAAGGTTGCCCATAAACAAATCAAACCATGCTTGAAGGTATCAAAGTTGTGGGGAAAAAATTAGAGGAAGGATAAGGAACAGATATTATTGTTTGCAGAATCATATGAAACTTTATTCTACATAACCATAATATCATGGGAGAAGCATAACCACGAGGTGTGACATATTTAAATTTCTTATTGGTTCAAACACACAACTATAAATAGATAGGAGGGACGTCACATAAGGGAAGAATATACATTCATGAATGCAGGTCGAGTAAATCCGTTTATTCTGCGGTTGAGGATTGAAACTTGCGAGAAACTAACAATCCTAAGGAAAAGGCTACAACTGCAGTGATAACAATTCCCTTGTTTTGTCTTAAAACTTTCACTGCATTTTCTAATATAGTAGGTTCTTTTCCCCATTTCCTTACCAGATCTTCGGGAAAACCCCCCACGTGATTGATTTCATTTCTTCTTTCCCCCTTCATATGGCGGTCCTGTTCTCTGTTGTGATCTCTTCGTTGATTATCAGAACTGGGTTGCTCGCGTTTATGATTTTCTTCTTGTCTCCTAACACTGCCATTTGCAGGCTTAGCTGGTTCAGTTTCTGTGTTCCTTTGTGCAGCTCTCTTGGTGATAGTCACATAAAGGATCTCATTATCAAATTTCCCAGCTATCTTATCAGTATCTGAATCATTTGGCACTGGAAAAACCAGCTCAAACCGAACACGTTTCACTTCGTTCACTTGCCTTTCTCCTCTTACTGTGATATAGCCAGAGCCCTCCACCTGAAGCTTCACCTCTTCCTTCTTGAATCCTGAGAAAACCATCCAGAGATTGAAGAAGCAAGCCAAGAAGAAAAGTAACCTTCCAACATGTAAATTCCAGTCTTGCAGATTAATTAAAATAGAGGGTGTTTGAATATGGAATAATACCAGGAAGATCGACCAGAAGATAATGGCCGGTGGAATCCTGTGTCCATCCAGAATTAGGAACTATCTGTTCCACAAGAGGGGGGCGTGAGCTTATTCTGACTCCAACCCGTCTTCCATCTGTAACACTAGCCATTGATGTGGATGAAATTGATCGCTGATATGATTCTCTAGAGAGAAAGTATTAAGTGTGAAAATTCACAATGAAACTTTGTCCTTGATCATGAGCTATATAAATTGCATTGCATGCGGTGATCTGCATATTTCCTGTGAAGATGGCGAATGAGTTTGTTGGATGGCTTGTTAGCATTATTATTCCAAACTTATGATGAAAGAGCGCATAAGAACTTGAGGAGGTGACCAACGTACGTATGAAGTTCTGTAGCAACGTCCAGAAGTGGACTATTCTTTGCTTCGTTTGCTTATTCCCAGGCCACCTCTTTCGGTGGCGGCGGTTGTCCAGCAGATCAAGATATTGCATGCCAACATGTTGCGCTAGCTCCTATCCTTAAAATAATTAGTTTGAAGGTATTAAAAAAATTAGTTAGAAAAATTTGGTTAAAAGCGTCAGTTTAAAAACTTAATTGGCTAAATAAAAAGACTTAAATTTTAACGACTATAACTATAATCAGTTAGTGCAATTTTTCTTCTGTTATATGCAACATATCGTCAATGATGTGCCACAATCATTACTATGAAAGTTATTTACACATAATGGAAGACATGTTGCACACAACAAAATAAATATTGCACTCACAAATCATAGTTATACGCATTCAAATTTAGGTCCTTTTAACTAATTAAATTTTTGAACAATGATTTTTTACCAAATTAGTTAGGTTAATTATTTGTAATAAATATGGTTTAACTTGCCTAAACTACCATATTTGATCATGTGTATTAGATATATTCTTTGGTGACAACACGTTACAGTCCATAGGAATGTTTGGAAAAAAAAACTATAAATTTAAAAAATAAAATAAATTAAGATCTTATATTAAGAACTAAATTCAATCTTGAACTGGTTTTTATAAAAAAGACAGCAGCCCCTAAACCTTTTTTTCTTCTTTTGGGCCTGAGATTAGAAGAGAATGGCGTGGATGAGAGGAAGATTAGTCAATAAATAATGATTGTGTGAATCAAAGAATCTTGCGCTGTGTAAACTCAATATTTTTTTTCATTAAATTCTCCACTTAATACATAAAAAATGTATGATTTTACAGTGACACGTTAATAAATACATAGTAATTTTGCTACATAAGGAGAATCTGTACTTTGAACATTATTCATAGCCCATTTTGTGTAACCTCACCCCAAGGGCACTTCTTGACCACGTATATACCACTTCGAAGTCTTCTACGTATGTCATTAGCCATCTAAATATAGCATTTATCTTTCTTCTACCACTTGAGTTAGCTGTAAGTGATTTCCTATATAATTTCTTTAATTTTTTTGACATATATCATAATTTAATAAAAAATACTTTAAGACATTATTTAAGCTTAATCTATCATTAATATTTTCAATCATCAAACTTGCTATGATAAGAAAATCCCTTGACGCTGCCCCGTAATGCCCTTGTTGCAGGCTTCCAGGTGATATCACCCCGCCCGGCCCATCTGGCCCAAACCAACAAATATGTCCAGCAACCAGCATGTAACGCAAAACATTAAACTTCTGCGTTGATGAGCCCAAAAAAATGTAAAAACAAAGAGAAGATTACTGCCCAAATATTGAAAGTGTGTGTTGGAAAAATCCTATAATACTACTATTGACTTGTAGTTGCCTTTTTTTTTATT